ATAATAGATTACAGTGCAGATCTCCATTCTTATGCAGACTTACTTCAATGGCCTTGAATAAATGGCATTGTTGCAGTTCAGTAGTAACTGGAAGTAAATGCCCTATCACTGGTGTAGAAATGTTGCCACATTCTTTCCCCAAAGAAACTAAGTCACATTTTGGAATTCTGATTAGAGCAAGAATAGAGAAATACTGAGTTCCAGGAGTTTCAGTCTTTGTTTGCTAATGTAAGATCTCCCTATGGCAAGATCCTCGAGGCCATATAAGGCCTTGCCTTGAATGCAAAGAGACTGGGCTGCTGACATAATCAACCGGTATCTGTTTTATCCACAGGGTTTTCAGAGCCATCAGTTTCATAACTCTGTAAGTATCATATTCCCAAAGCACTTCCTACTTCTATTTACTAAGGGTTTGTCCATGCAGCCCTGTTGATGTCCTTTCTTAATGTCTTCAGTGAAGGAATGATCTGCTGCTGCATTGAAGAGCATTGGTAGTGGTCTTCAGCAAAGAGGGAGGGAGGAACTGGGTGGGAGGCACAGAGAAAGGAACTGGGAGTCCTGAGGAGTCGGTACTCTTAAAAGCTGAATCACTACTACTGCTGCTGCTTCCTTTCCCTGCTCCCCCACAGCTCGTGTGGCCTTTCTAATTGAGCACTAATTAGGTATTGCTTTCTAATTAGAGCTGTGAATGAGATGCTAAATCAACTCTCTTTCTTTTGGCCCCTTGTAGACTCTGCTTCCATCTGCTCTCAGCAGCCTCTCTAGCAGGGATATCAATCTAATGTAAGGTCTTCTGGGAGATCGATAATCCCCTGATTGCCCCCACCCTCACTAATAATTGTCAGACAAGATTTTGCTCCCTCCAGGAGCCAAAGCAGAAATAGCTGTGGATGCACAGAGCCCTGTGACTGCAATAAGAGGGCAATCCTGCAGTGGGCCAAGTGGAGCCCAGCAGGTTGTTTATCCTCTGAAGCTTCCTCCTCCATTTGATCCAGAATGTTTGCCTAAAAGGCCCTTTTTGTTTTTCCATAGAATGCACCACTTTCCTGCTGGATCAGCTTGATCCAGCTTTAGGCTGCCTCAGGAATGGCACCGAGATGGAAGCTCTATTGTGGATATGTGTCCTCATCATTTGTTAGCCATCTCAGAGCCAGAGCAAGGAGGCTGTATGGATGAGCCCTAAATGACTAAAACTGTCATATTACTAAAACTAAAAATGTCATATTTTGAATTCTGTTAGAATTTTATACCTGAGAATGGATTAGTGATACAGATTAGAATGTACATGTATTTGGTGTAAAGGCATTCTCCTATATATAACCATACTTTGAATAAATGTGCTTGAAGACTAGGACAGTGGATGGATATTTTTCAATGGGTCCAGTGAGCCTATTCATGTATAAAATCAGAATGGAGGAAGTATAATTAAAGACATGGGTACAGGAAAGAGAAATCCAGCCTCCTCAATCCCTCACCCGTTTATCCATTGCTCCAAACACACTTGCATTCCCACCTTGCTTCTGATGTTAGAACAGTCAACTCATTAAAGCAGCCACATCAATTTTCAGGTTCATGCAGAAGTCTGAAAAAAAGATGTGGCTATTGTACAGAGGTGTTCTACTTGCCCTCCCACATATTCCAAAATACCTCTTTTTGAATCATTTTTGAAACATCCACACCCCTAATATCTACTCCAATATCTAGGAATCATTCCAAATTCTGTACTTAGGGCTAGACCAACAGTACATCCTTTTGTGGGTGTTTTAGTTAGAGATGGCTGGGTTTAGGCTGTGGAGGGGAATATAAGAATCAACAAGGTTTACAGAAAACAGAGAAGTGTTGTACTTTTTTTCAGTCCTAGAATGTGATATTACTTTTTTTTTCCTTTATAGAATGCTGTTGGGAAGCAGCCCATCTTGGTCTTGGTGCTTTTCAGTATTCTGAGCGCCTTCGTTGTCTCTTCTTCAATTACATCTAAATGGATTACATGAACTTTTGAAATTGTATCAAGGAGGTTACCTATTTTCCTCAACATAATATGATTTTCTATTCAAAACATTGGAGTCAAATTTTTAGATTGATAAACCATATATTTCTCCTGTCCCTGACCTCTACATACACGAGTACTTTTAACACTACAATATGCCTTGTTGTAAATTACTGGTTTTATCTCCTTCTTTTAATATATAGGTAGTCCTCATTTAATGACCACAATTGGGACTGGCAACTTGTTTGTTAAGCAAAGTGGTCACTAAGTGAAACCACAACTCTGCTTATGATCTTACTTCAACTTTCCTTTGCTTTACAGACCTGTGAAGGCTGTAAATGCAAGGACTGGTTGCAAAGTTACTTTTTCATCAGGTGTAACTGCGAATGGTCACTAAATGAGGCAGTTATTAAACAACGACTACCTTTATATTATGCTTTATTGTTATTTTTTTTTGTATGTGTGTACAATACTTTATTTCATTGCAAAAATGACATTTTGTTTATGAGATGTAATTAACTGATCAACTAACTTTGATCCAAGGCTACAGTTTACTTAAGATTGTTGATATATTTGGAAATAACTACATTTAAAATTGTGTGGATTGAGATAGTTTATTAACGCCTACTATTATGTAGTATGGTATTGACCCAATCAGAAATTATTATTCTCAGTACATTCATGTGTAACTAGATTAGAACTGAATACTGAGACTTCAGAAGATACACTCTTGCAACACTATTCAGAAGTTCCTTCATCATGAAAAGGAGAATTATGGGAAAGCCTATGATAATTCTATAGGAATAAAAACCAACTATTTTCCATTCTAAATAAATACATGAACTTAAATAGCAGGAACCTTCTGCAACTGTTTTCTTTCCTTCATTCATATTAATTAATATAAATTCAAGGCAACAATAAAATTATATATTTATTTACAGAGCAGTCCACAGGGAGGTGGTGTCAAAAAAAATCAAGATGGCAGGTGCAACCACAAAGTTGTGATGCATGTTAAAAGGAGGCATGGTTTCAATTGTGTGGGCCATAACCATCATCTTGTCTTAATGACGATGATCGAAAGTAAATAACCTGTGTTGCCTTTTACATAAACCCAGTAATATAGTTTTCTTCAATAATATAGCACACTTTGTGTTTGTATAAGGATATTTTATAGGGATATCACATGATCTAGCAATTTGTGAATGCTCTAAGTGTGGTGGGATGGGATGGGATTCAATCCCTCATCTTTTCAGGCAGATTTGTCATGCTATTCCTTTTCAGATGGCCATAATTAAGTTTGGGCTAACCATCTAACTCTTTTTTTCCCCACTCTAAGCATTGACTGTTAGACTATAAAACCATAACAAAGTGTCATATAGTATCAGTGTTATTCACACCACACATAATCAAGAAACAGTAAACTGCTAAACGGCTCCTAAAATTCTTACTGTATAAGCAGGAATTGCCATGGCAGTTTAAAAGTGCAGTCTTGAAGGTTCAGGTTGAGCTTAAATGACATAGAAGTTCAGTGGATGTTTAATATTGAAATCCTAAGTGGTATTTAGAAACAACTGCCAGCTACCCCAGGAATGTCTTTAGTTGTTGTTGTTGTTTCTTCTCCTCCCCCTCCCTCCCCCTCCTACTCCTTCTCCCTCTCCCCCTCCTCCTCCCTCTTCTCCTCCTCCTCATCTCACCTTTATAGCATACTAATGCTCCTGCCTCCTATTTATAAGTGGGTTAATAGGTCAAAGGTTGTGCAAACCAACTCTTCATATGTAAAAAATTTCATTACATGATTGATAATATTCTGGGCATTTGAAATAATAAAGTATAATGCCAATAGCACTTGTGTAGATTATTGTCTAATGTTGTTCTTACTTATAAAACAAAATGAAGTCTGAGAACAGGTTTGCATTGTCTTACTTGTCAAACTAGTTTTTCTTGTTCACAGTTTCAAACAATTGCATGAGACAAAAGGTAGGTGATCTTTCTCTTTTTCCTGGATTGCAGTGTTTTTAGATGCTAATTTCTCAACAAAGGTGGCACCTTAAACTATTTTCTTGTAGAATTCCTAAACTGATATGCTACCAAGTGAGAGCCACAATAAAACCACAGCATCATACAGAATTTGGTTTCAATGACAATTCTGAAATTTCCCTAGGCTAATTATATACAAAACATTAAACTGACAATTTTTTGAAGTGGAGTAAGAGAGGCTGACTTCATGGTTAGGGGATGGTTGAATGACTTGAAGGATGATACTTCAAGACTAATTCATGTCCAACAATTACAGCTTTAGAAATTTAATTCTGAATTAATCCCTGTAGGATTGTGCCACTAGCCACAATCCAACTGAACACGTACAATAAGAAAAAGAAATATGTTACAGTTGACAACATAATAATTTTTTACAGTGACAACAGATAATTTTGCTTAGATAGAGATTTGCCATTCACAGATTCTCGCTTCCAATCTTCAGGTCTCCAAGTTTTTCCTCAGGAAAAAAAAGCAGGAAATAGTGAATAGTTCTTTCTTTATATGCATTCATTTGCCCTTCTGCGGACAGCTGCAAAAGGCACAGGTCAGTTGACAATGGCCCTGCTGGAACGGTTTTAGGAGTTAGTGGGCATCTTTAAAGGCTGTCTGAAGTACAGGCTCCCACGGACTGGAATGTGTTTTAGCTATTGGCAAATGGAGAGAGAGAGCAGGGTGGGAAGAGAGATTGCATCAATCATAGAGCCAGTCTTTTCTCTTCGGATGCTGCCATTCCCCCTTCTTCCAGCCCCTTCGGCCTCTTCTCTTCGAGGACGCTCCGTCTGTTGCCTCTCCCGCCCCGGAGCGTCCTTTCCAGCGCCTCCTAGAAGGCGGCAACGCGTGAGAAGGGCCGCGGGGCCGGGAACCGAGCGGGCGGAGCCGCGGCTGCAGCCGGAGTATTGACGGGGCGGCACCGGAGAAGAAGCACCCGGAAGGGAAGCGTGCCAGGCTCCCAGCGCGGCAGGTGAGAGTCGGGAGAGAAGACCCGGGAGGGCTAAGCGGAAACAGGGGGATTACTAAGCAAGGAGGGCAGGTCCGCAGCTAGGAACTAGGCGCGAGCGGACAGGAAGGAGGTGGCTGGGAGGATATGGTCGGAAGGATGCAGCTGAGATTGAAGTAACCCAGAAACTGAAGAAGCGGAGAGAGGGATGGGATGCAGGGCAATCCGATGGCGGGCAAAAGTGGGGAGGTGCAGGGTAGGACTAAGCTAGTGCTCGCCCTCGCCTCGTCAGAGCTAAAGGCTGCTTTTTAAAATCGAGGCTGACACCACTGTATCTGAAATCTTCCTGAGGAAGAACGTCCCTGAGCATATGTGGAGTGCCGTTCCTTCGAATTAAGGCAGCTAGAGCTCCTTTTCCTTTGGGATTGGGATGGAATTTGCTGGTTTAAGGAAAGCTTGCTTCATCTTGAACTCGGTTTTGGTAGCAAAGGTTTGCTGTCGATTATGTGATAAAATAATGAAAGAAAGTGTCTATTCTCGGAGCATGCACAGAGTGCTGATTGCCTTGCTTCACTAACTGGAGCGGATTGTGGGTAATAATTGAGGAATGAAGCTTCACAAAGCCTGGAGGGGAGTTTTAACTCCTAACCTCTAACTATAGAAATTGAACGTGAAAACCTTGCAGAACTAGGGAGTCAACATATACTATTGTCAGGAAGTGGCTCAGACATGAGCCGGGGATTAAGAAACAATAGCTTTGGGGGACAAGCAGCAGAATGAACAACTATTCCAAAAGGTGAGTTACAGTGCAGTGAGCATGGTAAATCAATGTGTGTAAAAATACGAGGCAGTATAGATCAATGATGAAACAAGGAACATCTGACCAAATGTATACATCTATCCACTCCTGCCATACATATTCATTCATCTGCTTGTTTACATACAAAAACAGTTTTTGTGGTATAGATATCTTAGAATAAAATGGGAATAAAAGGCAAGATTTTCAATGTATTGGCAAAGGAACAGAAAAATAAAAAGGTAGCTTAGCCTTATGTATATATATAAAAATCCAGTGGCTTTCTTGTATAAATGAATGATGATCAAAGCATGCAGTAAGAAATAGAAAGGAAATAGTACTGGTTATTATTGAACAGTTTGGAGCAAGAGACACAGAATAATGCAAAGAAAGATTGTCATACCAGGTATCGAAAATAGCATCAAACGCATACATAAATAGCAAATGTTCCTAAAAATTACCACACTATTATTTATTCAAATATACTGTATAGAGGCATATTTATATTTTAAAATTATATATGACTGTTGACAGTTCCTATATGTCCTTTGAATTAATTCCTATCTTGGACCAAACTTATAGGTTACTGTGTGTACTGTACTAAGAGGGGCCTACTACCAAAACTTTTCTGCTAACTGAGAATAGCACACGTGCAATAATCAAAGTATTAATGAATTTATTTATTAAGATATTCAACATTTATATAGTCGCCCATCTCACACAGAGGGACTCTGGGTGAGGTACAACAATTAAAATAAGTGAATAAAAACAGGCAGATAAAAAAGATAAAAAGTTATTTTAACATAAAAACATCACAAATATTTATTTATAAATATTTAGAAATGCTGCATACACAGTTGTATTTGTTTAAACATCACTAATAGTCCTTATATATTATAATACAAAACAAGTTTGGTACAGAAATGTCTAAATCAGTATAAAAATACTACATCCTGTGTGTACCTAATAACTATTAATCATCTGACCATTAATAATACAAAACTCAGTGAATCCCAGAATTTCCATAATTCCTGGATTCTCATTCCTTTACCCTTCCCTTATATGATCCTGTTATGGCAGACATCTTATGATGGATGCTAACAGACATGGCATTCATTGTGTAATTGTTCTTCTAAAAGCTTGGGAATTAATTAATTAATTAATTTTTCAAATTTATATATGCTGCCCATCTCACTATACAAGTGTCTCTAGGTGGCATTACTGGTAAAAAACTATAAACTCATTAAAAAAAAGGTAAAAACTACAAAAAGCTAAAATTAAACTAAAAAGTTAAAACTACAATGCAAACTAAAAAGTGGAGAGAGCATCCTCAGGCTACCAGCCACCCCCAGTGCTGCGAACCCCCATTGGGTCCCCATGCAAGTTGCCAGAGCCAGGTCTTAATGCCCTTTTGAAAGGCCAGCAGAGTGGGGGCCAATCTCACCTCAGGGGGCAAGATATTTCAGAGGGCAGGAGTCACCACAGAAAAGGCTTTCCTCCTGGACCCCACCAGCTGAAACTCTCTAGGCGACGGGGTCTGTAACATACCCTTCCTGCTGGAACAGGAGGGACAAGTCGATGTAATGGAGACGAGATGGTTCCTCAGGTAACCTGGGCCCATGCCATTAAGGGCTTTAAAGGTCATAACCCTTGAATTGGACCCGGAAGCAGACTGGCACCCAGTGCAGCTCACACAGCAGAGGTGTTACATGTGTAGTCCTAGAGATGCCCATAACTGCCTGCGCCTTATTTAGAGGACATAATCTTTCATTTGTAATTGTGTCATTTTTCTCCTACATCTTTTTTTCTAATAAGAAAAAAATTAATTTTATTTAATCTAAAAAAATCTAATTTTTTTCTTATTAGAAAAACAAATATTTCAGTGAAGAAAGATAGAATAGCTCCTTTTGATTAATAGTGCTAGGAGATGTACATATAACTATTTGAAGGAATACTCTGATATTACATCTTTTGATGTACTAGCCTACAACATATTTTATTTTTCCATTTAAAATATTTTTCAATTCATTTACTTTTAAAAAATTATTCAGGAAAAACTACATTTTTTAAACTGGAGCTTTCCCTACTTCCCCATGAAAAAATACAGGAGAAAAATGTGATCTTGTCAGATAAGAGACTTGTCATGGCCTAATCACACAGATAAAACAGGAACTCACTTTTGTAGGGAACCACAAGGAAAACTGAGTATGTACTGTATTTAAAGAACTTGGAGTTATTAGCACAAATTATTAATATTGTCCTTTTTGATACCCTTTCAATCATAATACGCTATGAAAATAGCTTAATCACATGTGGTTATATGCCTCAACTGGGAAATCTTTGAACAGTATCACTATTCTTTATGGTGAACCTGGTTAACTGGCAAAGTTGCCCTCATTGGAATGCTTCAGTCTTTTCAAATATTTTGAAAGGTAAAACACTACTCAGATATCATTGTTCTTTGCTGAATCATTATTGAAAGAACATCTTTCAGTAGTAGAACTTGTTATTAGCTGATCTTTAATGCAAAGAAGATTTTTTTTAAAAAGTAAAAGAAAAACAAATCCAGGTGCTGACCAGGAGGTAGTAAAGAAATATACCAAAAAATAAGATTTCCAAGGGCAAGGAGTTTCATAACATAGTTGCCGTTATTACAGAGGCTTTTGGGTTCTTGCCAAAGAGGGAGATATGAAGACACAAACCTCCCCTGACCTCAAAGGACAGGTAGGATCATTCCTGATTACTGTATTCTGTTTTCTTATAATCTGGGTTGCCGAGGCTGAACTGAACCTCTTACAGAATTATGGGTATGCTTTAAGAAGAATCTCAAATTTAATTTGACAGCTAAAATCTGATTGTAAATCTGTGAAAGAGCAATAGGAATCTAATGGTTTCTTTTCAAAGATGCAGATTATTAGAAAATTATGTTTCATAGCCTGCTTCTCTACATTTTTAGTAACATTTGCATTATATTTCTCTGGCAAGTCCTTGAGGTAGAGAATGTCATCCAAAATACTGCAACAAAGAGGAATTTGAATAAGCAGAACTAAAGGAACATTGAAGCAGAATCACACAATGTGACACTGTACAGCATCTTGGGATGCAGATGTGTCTATCTGTATGGAATAAAGGATGGTTCTGGGGCATTATGTGCACAACAGCTTATCCTCTCATGCTCATAGAGGTACTGTGCTGTGACCCTCCACCACCTTTTGGACAAGCACAATAACAAGGAAGCAGCAGTATATACTTGTCATTCCAACAAACTGAAGTATATTAATTCTATTAGTGAACCCTTCAAAACATTTACAGCACAATCTGACACAAATGTAGTCAGATTAAGGTGTCACAAGGCTTTGTTTTTTCCGCAACTGGATTATTTTTATTCATATACAGCTCTTCCTCTCATAGGAAGTTCGGAGCAGAGTATATTTAATGTGTTTCTGAAATGATGTCAAGTACCATGTTTGTTGCAAAGTATATTTGAAAGTCTTTAGAGACATTAAAGCATTGGAAAGGAGTGGGGAGCTAGAACAAGAGTCATTTATGCTAGAACGCTAAGGTTCCAGTAACTACTTGAGGCTACTGAAATGACACTGGTTCTGTATTTAATATTTAATATTAAGTGCTTTGTGCAATGAGATCTCATGCTCAAGATCATCAATCTTAGGTTGCTTAGCTAGAGGGAACAGAGTCAAAGCCCTGTTATCATTGTATCAGGTGGAATAATGGGTGATTTATTGTTGCTGTAGAAAATGTAGATTATTGTTGCATAAGTGCTGACACGTCATTTGGCTTTAATACAGTACTAGAGACTACATTGCACTGAAAGCATGGGGGTTTTTTGTACATTACTTTCTGTCCATATGAGCTGTGTGAAATCTGTCATTTACAATTACTTAACTGTGGAACAACTACTTCTACTGAAAAATGAACATTTTTCATAAACTTCAAGTTCGATGTTTACTGAAGAGGACTGTGGGCTTGAAAAATTGGATTTGACAAGTTTTACTACAGAAAATTTGAGGTTTTCTTTTTGTTCTGAAATTGTACAGCAGCAGCGTACCAGGTGATACACTCCATATACCTGAACGACAAGATTGAATGAATGGTGTTCTCTTTAACATTTCTGTTTGGGAATCATGGCAATTCAGAAAGAGAAGATTGTTTTTGAAGTTGGTGTATCTATATGCATTTTAAAAAACATTTTCTAATAGTCTGTATTTTACTAAGAAAACATTACAATTATTATTATTACTATTATTATTATTAAGAAAAGTTTCATAGTTATGCTGAATATTGGTAAAATGTAAAATGGTTGGGATCCAGAGATGTGCTCTTTAATATGCCAAAAGAGTTTGAGATTTGTCAGACTTTTTTGCCCTTTTTCATTGATTAGTAGATCTCAGTGCTGTGTTATATGTTGCTTTTAGAAATCTTAGTTTTAAAAACTAAGTGTGAAGAGGAGGTATGGGAACAGCACAGTAAGGTGGATTAGAAACCTTAGCACTGGATATGCAATACATTTTACAAGCTTGGCTTGCATTCATTTAGGATAGAATTGATAGCCTACATGCGGTAAGTCAGGCAGGAAAAACAGCACAAACAGTTGTAGGTTTTGTATTGTATTGTAGGTTGCCTTTGATCATTGCAAATACTAATCTTGGGTTTATCCCCTGTATGTCTACCTTACTGTAGCATCAGCTGTATTGCTTTGAATATATATTAATTAGATAGATTTAGGTTCAGAATTTAAATCTATGTAAAAATGTCTTTGGTTTGGAGTTTGTGGATAGACTCGTTAAGGTTTATTTTCAATGAACAGAGAAGCTATTTGATAACTTGAGACAAAAATTGTAAAACTTGTATTCAGGGTAAACAACCATTCATCTTGTTGCACCAGATAGGTTGACTATGTTATAGCCAATAGGGCATAAGAAGTTAACACATTAAATAATTAACTTAAATATGTAATTCTTACTGACTTATATTTTATTTATTTTAATTATCTCCAAATTAAACTAAAAACGCACTGGAAACATGAAAAACATGCAGAATTCTAAAAATATAGAGTACAGTATGTATGTATGTATGTATATGTGTGTGTGTATGGATTTATTTACATTTGGGTAAAAATCTAAATTGAGATAATAGGAAAGTCCCCAAAACATGTTAAATTTGCCTTATGCCCCAAATTCACAATGTCTTATGTAATTTTTGTAGTTCCTGTGTTCTCCCACATTCTTAATCCACTCTAAGAATATGCTTGCTATCGTTTTAGTACTTTGTTAATTTAAAATATGGCACATGCAAACAAGTTTCCTGTAAATGATTCCCATTCCTATTTTGTTTAGTTTTATTCAGATGAACAGTTTACCTCATTAGAATATTGAGAATTCAACTTTATAATATTGAATATTATTCTACCAAGCCCATACTTTTTCAGCTGATGTTTAATCTAGGCTGAGTCAATGCAAGTTTTCACCCACTCTGAAATTGCCCTTTTCTAAAAGAGAGTAAAGAAAATAAAGAAATGGAAATCCTCTCATCAAATCTCTCAAAGTACAAGATGACAGTAGATTCTAAATTATTCCTGGATACAAAAACTGTGAGACTTTGATCACAGATACAATCAAAAGCTATATAGTTGTATCCTTTCCTTAACTGATAACAATTTATGCTATAGCTCTCAATCTGCCCAATCCAAATACTGATTTTCAGAATGTTACAACTACAATTAGACTTTTCTCAAGCACATTTAATTAAAATTGTTTGACTCTTCATTCAGGTTAACTAAGAACCTTTCATCAAGTAAAAGGGTCCTTTGTGAATTGTTTTAAAAGAACTTGGTTTTAGTTTAGGCTTATTTATTGCAATTTATATTTCTCCGTTCTGCCCCAATAAAACTGTGTTTAAAACAATAAAAATAGAACAAACAAACAATTAACATCCGATAAAAATAGAGTCACCCTCAGCCCATTGAGACTAAAAAGCCCTGGCTAAAGAAGAAAGTCTTGATTCCTTTTCTGAAAACAGAAAAAAAAAAAAAACCTTATTAGAATTCCTGAGGAAAGTACTGCATAGCTTAAGGCTAGCACAAGGAAGGGCCTTTTCTCATGCTCTAATAAACGGTGTTTGGAAAGTGCCTACATCTTTAAGAGAGTGTCTCCTGCTGTCCTTTTTGGACTGGTTCATATTGAGATAGGGCCCAGCAATTTAGGATTTTAAAGATCAGAACGACTCCTTAAATTGTGCTTTTAAAAAATTGGGTGTCAATGGGTCTATCAACAGTATGTTCCTAATAGCATGCATCCATTAGCAGTCTGAATACAGCATTTTACAGCAACTGAAAGTTCTGGACATCTCTCAAAGTTTGCCCTGCACAGATTGGTCATTGTTGCCCTGTAACCAAGCAAGGGGATAACTGTTATCAGGTCTCACTGGCTTGAGAATGGTTGCAGGGATGCACTAAACATGATGAAGCAAGTGCATTCATTCCTTGACTCTGACATTACCTGGGAATCCATAAAGAGATGGAGATCAGGGAGCACTGTGAACTTTCTCTTTCAGGGGAAGTGCAACCCCATCCATAACAGACTGAATCAGTCTAGAGCTCAGCTTCCTACTGAGCAACAACACTTTTGGCTTAGTTTGTTCCCTTTCATCCAGCCCATTACTGAACATAGACAGTAGTCCAGGGAACTTACTTTCTTGGAGATAGATGGTAAGATGCAATAGACTTGCTACTCTTGAATCTCAAGATTTTTTCCAGCAGGGTCATGTAGATTTGCAGCAATATTTGGAACAAGATGGAAGGGTGTGGGATACCACTGGCTTAGGCTTGAACAGTGATCTGCCAGCATTAGAGGTATGTATATTCAGAACCAATATGGGCAACGTGTTTAAGATCTGCATAGGCACCTCTCTCTATTGTTGCCTGCTGTTTAAAGAAGCTACATCTTTTGCAGGGCTCACACAGTGGCTCAAAAAAATATGTGTTTGAATTAGGGAGGTATTCAGGGAGAGGGTGTGACCATGTGTTGCCATCTTTTTGTTCCTCTTTATTTAAATGTGTATTTTCCTGAACCTATGTGACTACCTATCTTTTACTTTATATTTATGGAGTTTCCATTTGGATCTTAGTGCTTGGGGCCTGATCCAAACTGGAAGCCGTAATAACTTACCCTAGTGCTGAAAGGGTGTGGGAAAAACAAACATATGCATTTTAATCTTCAGTTGTTTCACTCAGCACCAGAGCCACCTTCAAAAGTTTGTTCCTTTTCTCCTGACGTGAAACTGGTTAGTTTAGTTTTTGTGCTATTTAGCAGCCATAAGATACACTTAGTAAGAGTAAACAAATATCCAGAGAGCACAGGTGATATTGCTTGTAATTTCCCTGAAGGATGAATTTTTCCTCTTTCTGGTTTTTTTTTTTTTTTAACCTCAGCACCTGTCACCAGCAGAACTTTTCTTCCCGCTTGCTTTCCCGGCTTAATTGGTCAGAGGGAGAGGCAACATTTTAGGCAAGGATTATAGGTCTTTACTTCTTTTCCTAAGCAAATAGCGCCGAGAGGACGAGTAGCACCCTAACTCCTTCAGAGTGAGCAGCTTTTATTTTCCTCTACAAGTGGCAGGGCTAGAGTGTGGCAAAAATCAAATGGCCTTGAAGTTTAGGAACAAACAATATGGGTAGGGTTGGCATTCTCTTCTGAACAGTTGCCTGTTTCCATCCCTGAAAGACAAGCAATAGCTCTTGAATTATATTAGAAATAGGGCACATGTTGGAAAATGCCCCAGTAACTTTAAAGCTATGATTCTTAAAACGATATGCAAAAGCTTCCCTCTACATAGAGCAGTGTTTCTCAACCTTGGGAACTTGAAGATGTGTAGCCTTCAACTCCCATGCTGGCTGGGGAATTCTGGGAGTTGAAGGCCACACATCTCCAAGTTGCCAAGGGTGAGAAACACTGATATAGAGGAATCTTAATAAATATGGGGAGATTAGCTTATGAATAAACTCCCAAAGAGGTCTGAATTATCTCCCTCACTTTTTCTTTAAAGATCATAAATCAGGAGCCTACAAAACATCTACATTAGTTCAGGCATTTTATAGATCAAGAAAGAAAAGTTCTTCACTGACACCTAGAGAGCAAAAGTACATCATATTATGTCATAATGTGTTTATTTGGTTTAGGGTTATTAAGTTCAATACACCATGGTTAAATAAACCATTTAACATGGTGCATGAATCCAGACATTGTCAAGTCAAAACGTTTCTGAGGAGAAAGTTTGGCAGGATGATGCAAAAACAATTAAGAACTTAGGACTTGTCAGAATCTGAGAAAATTTTCAAGTTTCTGTCAATCATCCTGAATCAAGTACTTTAATAGCAACTTTTAGAAAATCATTTTACTGTGTGGCTCTCCTAATTTGTGAGGCAATCTCAGAAACATTATGATATTTTGCTAATTTTGTTATCATAATAATAATCTAAACTTTGTAATACTATAAATTTGGATGTATTGTCAATGTTTTTAGAGCTAAATTATAGAGAGATAATTTCCACACGGAAACTAGTAACAGAGGCCTTTTCCCATTGCAACAAAGTTGGTCAAAGTTTTAGCAGGTTAGCTTCACAAATAAATAAATAAACAAAATGAAAATAACATAGTTCAATCCTGACTTCAACATGAAATATTTTTCAGCACCTTTTTCAGTGACTTAATCCCAGATAATGCACAAATCATGTAAAAAGCCCGCAGATAGGCAATACTTTTATTAAGGCCAACAGAAACATCACAAAACTGTGAAGACATTGAATGTTCTGGAACTTTTCAACAAGATAATGAATATTGAAAAATTGGGGGTGGGGAACAGGAAAAGTAAGCTGAAGTTAGATGTAGCCATTGGGTCTGCCTGAAGAACTTGGACTGGACTAGCCCATATTTCAGTGATCTGACATTTAAGGCAAGGAGGAAGCATTCAATAGCCAGTTAAATTAGTCTGTAAAGAATGGCATAACTCAAACCATTAAATCCTGAAATATCTCAGTAACTGTGCACACAGACAGGCAGACAGACATAAATGTGGAATTTTCCATTCTAAAATGATAGTAGCAGTACTATGATTTCAGTCTGTGACATCATCTCAATATATGACAGATACTTTTCAGTCTCCCATCATATGGGCGTTCTCAAGGTTTTGTAGATTGTACAAAATGTCAGTCTACTCTGTTCACACAATATTTTTCTTACGTTATGAGCAATACACGAGAGAGCGATATTCATACTTGTCTTTCTTTCCTGGGAACCATTTTCAAAATGACAAACCTCCTTTTTACCTTTGAGAAATGACAGACGTGGTGGGTTCATGTAAAAATTATATCGAGAATTATATATCCTATATGTGTGTGTGTGTGTAATATCCAAGATCAGAGCATTAGTCTAAATTGGCTGTTAGTCTTGTTAGACAAAGAACTTTCCTTTAGAAGTTGATTTCTTAGAGCACTTAATTCTACAGGTCTACCAAGAAATAACCAACTGGCTGATAATGAAGGAAACCTAGTTAGTGTGCCAGACATCCCAGAACTGATTCTTATTAAGTATAAAGACGTAATATAGAGGTAATTCCCAGTATAAGAGCAAGTTCCGTTCCCAAGGTCTGTTCTTAAGTCAAATTTATATGTAAGCCGGAACAGTATTATTGTATAATACTGTATAAGTAGTACTGAGTAATGAACTCGAATCATTGTGTATTTAACTCAAGTCACTGTGTATTTAACTCTAATTTTGCTACAGTAGGCTCTGTTCTTAACTATGGGTCATCTGTAACCCGGGCGTTCTTAACCCGGGGACTATCTGTAATTCAAATAAATTAATGTAATTCAAATAAATCAAATAAATTAATCTATAAAATAGTGTAAGTCCTAATAACTATTTTTAAAAATAAAACAGAAAAATTCCCAGCCCTCTAAATCCCACATGCTATAAGAAAAAAAAGAAGAAAGTCACAGCCATGCCCATCAGTAAGAATGCCATATTGCCTTACTGCCCTTCCAATTGTGGCCCTTCAGCCTCCCCCCATGTTATATGCAGACTCTGCTCCCACAAGGGAGTATATCATGTGACAAAGTAATCCTTACAATTAATCTCTCTGTCTCTGTCTCTGTCTTTCCTTTTCAGGAAGGTGATAATCAAGCTATGTCTACCAACTTAAAATACCTTTCTTTGGGTATATTAGTCTTCCAGACAACTAGTTTGGTTTTGACTATGCGTTACTCTCGGACATTGAAAGAAGAAGGACCTCGCTATTTGTCTTCAACTGCAGTGGTCATTGCTGAACTTTTAAAAATTATGGCTTGCATTTTGTTGGTTTACAAAGACAGCAGTAGGTATCTCATTTATTGTCTATAGGTATTGTAAGGTGTTAATAAGACCCCTCCCCAGGATTAAATCAAATGTAGTTTCCAAATAAGTATATTTATTAAAGAAGCATACAGAGAGGATTCGGAAATTATGGCTTGCAGAAAGTTAGCTACCTAAACTTAACAGAAGCATTAAGCTTTGAGGATACTTACAGGAGGACCTCACAGCTTGACGGGGTTTTACTTTATGCCAGCTGCTTGAAGACAAAGCAAGCTTCATCAAATGGGGTTTTTAGGGTGTGGGGTGGATGGGGGCAGAGAGAGAGTTACCAGGAAGGGAAATTCAAACTGATGCATCAGTGCCATGAATGATATAATCAGCTGTCTTCTGGGGATTCTTACTATACTGTATAGGTTATACTGTGTAGGTAGGGTATAGCTATAGGGACTCAAGTCTGCTTACTAGAATTTGGTCTAGCTGTGTCTGCCATGTTCATTATTTAAGAAAATAAACTGGTATAACAAGAAGGAGGGGAATCTAGATCCTTCACATCTTTAAAACATGACCATGTTCAGTGCCTGCTTTTAAAATGAATGCAATGTGAATGTCAACATTTTTCCTTAAACAAAAGCATTTGCCTTGCATAATTATGTGATTTTTCTCTTAGAAATGGCATGTTCCATACAAAAGCATTAAAATGTTTAGCTACAAAGTGATTAAAACTGTTAGGCTTCCTTCTAACCAAAAAAATATGTAAATAATGTATTATTCTCCCTCTTTGCACAGAGTGCAGTTTACGAGCTCTGAACAGAGTGTTACATGATGAAATTCTTAACAAGCCAATGGAGACACTTAAACTTGCTATTCCTTCTGGGATTTACACTCTACAGAACAACCTGCTCTATGTTGCTTTGTCAAATCTAGATGCAGCAACTTACCAGGTACTTACTTTTGATAGTGTCTTATTGTTAAAATTTGGGAAACAAATACCGGCTACTTTAATTTTTTTCCCCTTTTATCTTTTTAGGTCACGTATCAGCTGAAAATCCTCACTACTGCCTTATTTTCTGTGTCAATGCTCAGTAAGAAATTAGGTGTATATCAGTGGCTTTCGTTAGTGATTCTGATGGCTGGTGTTGCATTTGTACAGGTGAATATTATTATGAATATACTTCTGAATATTGACAGGGAAAATCTCTCTTAATTTGTTTTGTTAATGGAAACTTGGTTGATGCCTCATAACTCTTTTATGCTGCATTCAAATAGGATTTGGCTCCCCTTTAGCATACCACCAATAATGTAAAGAGGTATTATCACAAAGTCAGATATCTGAAGACTGCTGTCATATCTTCTTTCAATTGTGTCTCTTTTGCAGGCTAAACTTATAGATAGTACGTTTCTAGTCCCTTTACTATCTCGGTAGCTTTCCTCTGAAATCACTCCAGTTTGTCAATGTCCCTTTTAGACTGTGGTGCCCAGAACTGAGCATAGTATTCCAAATGTAGAGTAGGACAGTTATGTTCCATGATCTACTCAATGCTTCTGTTAGCAAACCCCCAAATAGCATTTGCTTTTTAGCAGTTGCATCATGCTGTTGGCTCATGTTCAACTTGAACACCCAGATCTTTTTCACATGTACTACTGCCAAGCCAGTTTACCCCATCCTGTGCTTGTGCCTTTCATTTTTTTTCTTCCAAGATGTAGGACTTTACATGTTAAATTTAATTCTGTTTGTTAATGTTGTACCACCTATACTTGAAGTGTTAAGAGAATTTCCTCCTCCTCATTACCTAGCACTACTTTAGAACTAGTAATAAAATGTTTATTTAGTAAGTATGTGAATGATATATAAACTTATCATAACTGCCAGTTGAATAAGTTTAGAAAACACCTTAGTAGTTCTTAAAATTCTATTGCATGCTATTTTGAGTGGACCTAAGAAGAGTATTGCCTCAGCTTGGTTTTGTATTCAAAATTCAACTATCTTCTTTTGTCAGTACAGTTTCTTTCAGTATGTAGTGACTAGCTGCTTTCATAGATTAATCATATGCTTGAATGAATATCCATCCATTGACTGTATCTGTGAAATTTGTATGTGAACTGGCGGTAAAGCAGACCATTATAAGAAACGTTTCTGGTGTTACTGCATTTTTTGCACTTCTTTCATTGTTAATTTTATTCAGCATTTTGAATATATTTTAATACACATACTTTATTTCTTTTAGTGGCCATCAGATTCACAGGCAACAACAGCTAAAGAACTTTCAGCAGGATCACAACTTGTGGGCTTGGTAGCAGTACTTATAGCCTGCTTTTCTAGTGGATTTGCTGGAGTATATTTTGAAAAAATTTTGAAAGAAACAAAACAATCAGTATGGATTAGAAATATTCAGCTAGGTAAGTCTTGCTTAAAGGAAAATCTAGAAGAGAGATTCAAATATGAATCAGACTATAATTAGAGTACCTCAACATGCTAAGTGTAGAAAAATTGTTATAGAGGCTATGCTCTGTTTGATATTAACTTTGCTAAAAGGAACTCTATCACTTACATCCTGTTCAGAATATTTATTGTTTGAGTCAGTTTCTGTTTGATTTTTGCTAATATTTAATGGATGATAAAGGCAATGGCCAGGATCCAAATTACAGTGCAGTTAGTACTGTGAGACAAAGAATGTGCTTTTTTTAAAAAAGTGGTCTTGTTCTTGCTACATGACAACTTTGAGTATATTTCATGAATTTGGTATGGTGGGGTTTCTGTTATCAAAGAAAAAATATTGTATGTCTCACTTCAGACAGCTTATAGCTCATGTGTTACATGAGAACCAGATTAAATTAAACTAAATGTCGCCATCTTTCTATAGCCATTATCACAGGCATCTGCAACAAACCAAAATTACATCAGAATTACAAGCATGTGGTGATGTTGTGATGCAAAACCCACCTTTACGTACTTGTGTCCTACCATTTGATACACTTATATAAGTCAGTTTTTGTGTCATGATGCATGTTTTATTACTTGCCCACATTGCAGACCCCAGTAGCAATTATATATCTTATACCCTTCTTTTTAAGAACCAAAAAATTGGAAATATTATGAGTCTCTACAAATGCTTTGTTTAAGAATGCTTTAATTTAAAGACATTTTCCTGTGTGTCTCGAAGACTAGGATAAAAAAAAAATCATAGAATTATTTTTAAAGATGAAAACAAATGAATATTTTCTCATTTGGATATAGGAATACAGATTGCTGTTTTTAAAGAGAAAAAGCAAAAATAAGTACTATTACTACATCTTCATTTTATGTACTGTGTGCCTATATAAAAAATATTACAATCATGAGAGTGTCTATAAAAAAAAGTTCCTCTCATAACTCCTTGTAAGTTGTAACGCGAATTTAAAATTGCAGTTGAATGTCTTTAAATTGTGGTTAAAAGTCTTACATTAATTGTATCTATCTTTATTAAATTTGCTAATTGCCTGTGGGCTAAAATACAGGTAGTCCCCAGTTTAAGAATGTATTCCATTCCCAAGGTCTCTCCTCAAGTCGAATTTGTATGTAAGCCAGAACAGTATTGTTGTATAATACTGTATAATGTTA